ATTCAACGGACGATTCGCCACAACTTCGCCGACTGTACGGTCGTTACGATCGCCCACAGACTCAACACTATTATCGATTCCGATCGCGTGCTGGTTATGGACGCCGGGAGGGTCAGGGAGTTTGATACACCCTATAGATTGCTGCAGAATCCCAACGGAATGTTCTATAAGTTGGTGAGAGAGACGGGTCAACCCATGGCCGGGGAGCTCATGGCGGCCGCTAAGCGTGCGTTTGATGGGCCGTCGGATTAGGGCTTGAATTGTGTTGTTATTAAGGTTGTAAGATATGTATTAATTATTTCAATACTAGTATTTTCATATAAAATAAAAACAATAACATTATGATGATTTATTTATTGTTTCAATACATCCCCATCAATAATCCTCATCCCTATCCCTACTGTCCTCAGTATTAGTCCTGAAATGGAAAGTTATTTCAAAGATTTTTGATTAATAATTCGCATAACAATTAGTTGACTACCAGTCTTTCTACTACTATATGATAGTGGTCAGTAGGAAAGGGCTGGCACCTGCCCTCATGTAATCCCAATACACCCGTCCGGCTACAGAACCGGTAGCTTTGCTCTCATCATCTATTTTGGGATCATTTAAGTCGGAATCGGACTAAAAGTTAAATAATTAAAATCTTAACAATTAATCAAATTTTAAAATTTTTTAATTATTATGAAAAATACTTCAGTTTTGGTCAACGATAGGGTACTAATAGTCCTCTTTCTGTCAATTTTGAGGATATCTTCACGTATTGTCTCTTTTTGCTCATTCACTGACTTTTCTTCACTGATAAGTGATATGANGTACTAATAGTCCTCTTTCTGTCAATTTTGAGGATATCTTCACGTATTGTCTCTTTTTGCTCATTCACTGACTTTTCTTCACTGATAAGTGATATGAAATCAACGCCCGATTCGCACAACTGGTCATAGGATCCAAAAGCCAGGGGTCGGCCCTCTTTGAGGACAAGAATTTTTAAAATTATTAATTGTTATTTCAAATCTATTTTTAAATCAATGCTAAAATATAGTAGAGTAAGAATATTAAGGAAAAATTAGTTGTAAAAATTTTATTTTACGATTTGAATGAAAACTCTTTAATTAAAGTCTAGAAATATTTTGAAAATATATATAACTTTTAAATAATTTCTGAAGTATTTTATCCAAAAGAGAGTAAGAATTGAGTGAAAGATCATTGATTTGAGAGCCAAACCAATGCCACAGAAGAGTATCATAAGTCTCAAGGACTATGGATACTGTGACCAACCGTCCAGGTTTGACCTGGACTGTCCAGGAATTAAGGTATCTGTCCAGTGTCCATAGCAAGGTGATTACCATGGTAGATTTGTGAATAATAAAAAATATGTATCCAAATCATGAATACAATATGTATGGGCTATAAGTTAGGGTTGGATCCGTTTGAAGCATTTAATTGTTAACTCCACCGGTTATGTCACCCTACAGACCACCGTAATGTAGCCAAACTCCTGGGCCCTACACCTCCACACATCTCCATTACCACCGCTTCCTATATGCGATATGAAGCCTTTGGTTCGCAAATACTCCAGTTCCTCACTGGGAAGGGGATTATGACCTAAGAGTGAGCCCACAATTTCTCTAATTTTAAATCAAACTAATTTTTACTCAAAAATTTATATTTCATATCAAATCGCATATAATTTACAAACTCGCCAACTGTGGGCTAATACTAGTAATAACTGATTACCCTGCTAATAAGTAATATGTGAAAAGCTTTTTATTTGTCTAATAACTTGTAATCAGCTATAATTGAAACTCTCATTCAATACATTTGAAACCACGGGAGGTCTCGCATAGTATCGGCTGAACTGCACACAAAACTCGTTACGTTTTCACACATTTATCAAACCCCGGGTTATAAGTGGGAGGGCAGACAAATGTTAACCATAGGGTTAGTGCTCATTTCTCAAATATTTTTGCAAATTATTCACAATTCAGACGTGAATTTAGAATTAAATAATAACAGGGTAACATTAATGTTGATGACATGCGTTAATTAATGCACTGCAATGCACATTGTGTACAACTAGTACTGTACTGTGACTCCCACTCCCATAATGTGTGTAACGTTTACAAAGCTATGGACAACAGTTGTTATTGGGTTGACTACAAAACAAAACTCAATGTTTATTAAACAAAACCTTATTTACAAACAGTTGTGCGCATAAACAACACCATATGCCGTATAATAGTAAAGTAAGCGCACATGGAAATGCATTGTAATACAAAAGTGTTTCAATTAAATGCATTTAAATAATTTGTGCACACATGAACTTAATAAGTTACATGAAAGGTCTCCATGGGAAACAACCTATTACAATTGTACACATGTGTTTTATACAATCTCAAAAAACAAAATTGATAAAATACTAATATATAAACAGAAATATATGTGAATTCTGTTGCATTTTGTACTGACAGTCAAAGGTTTTGCAATGTTCAATATAAAATTTAATTTATAGTTATTTTGTTAATATAAGCAATACAGTGTATTCAAATTGTAGGACTAAATTGTAAAACAAACCAATTTAATCTAAACAAGCAAAATGTCAGAAATGCTTAAGAATTTGAACAGAGAATCACAAAACTCTGAAAACAGGGTCTCTGTTGAGGATCAGCTAAAAGTGTATGAATTATGTAAAACACATTTAGGCGGCCATTGGAGTGATGTTAGTGTCGACCAACTGGTCATCAAACGCGTTACGTAAGTGTCCACTAGTGTTGTAATATATATATATATTTTTAAAATTACAATGTTTTGAATAATTTTGAATAATGTACAATTAATTTTGTTAACCAGGGGCGGTATAATAAACAAATCATATTGCTGCAGTTTGCCGCAAAGTGCACAAACCGGTCATGATCAAGTTTTTATCAGATTTAACGTGGACTGTTCTAGTAGATTTTTGGATAAGACACACGAATTGGTGGCAAATATATTTGCATCGCAAACAGATATATCACCAAAAATATTGGGTATATTTGAGAGTGGATTCATCACTGAATATATTGACGTAAATAAACATTTTATTTAAAAATATAATCTCTAATAAAATGTAACCCAAAAAACAGTGCCATTACTTCACTGCCGAGGATGACCTGAACCCTAGATGTGTCGCACTATTAGCCAAAAAGATGGCTAAAATGCATTCACTAGACGTACCCATAGCTAAGGACAGCCACCAATTCCTTATGAAAAACTATTGGGATTTGTTTGCGGCGCCTGTATTCGAGTCCTACAAAAAGGGACACATCTATGAAGAGATCCAAAGACACAAATTGCAGACATTTATGGAAATGGATTTATGCGATGAGATGTCGTGGGCTATGGAGGTGTCGGTGGGTTTGGGAGGGCCGGTAGTCTTCACGCACAACGATCTCATGCGTCGCAATATATTAGTCCGCAATACGTGTCATAAAAATGCCGACGATTTGGATGTCTTTATAGTGGACTACGACTGGAGTTGTTATATGTTTAGGGGCGCAGACTTTGCCGACTATTTCATCGACTGGTGTCAACCGGAACTGGATTTCGGTGGCAATGACTTCCCGACCGATCAACAGATGTATGCCTTTATCGACGCCTACATC